ATAATAGATTTTAGTATGGGTAATTATCTTAATTCCACCACTAGCACTAGGCAGCTATTTCTCCTCATTTTTCTCACCACTGTCGCCTGATTGATTATATAAACCAATTGTTTGGCGTCAACATTGTCTCACCCTATCCATCAACAAATTTTTAAAAAAAAAAAAAAAAAAAAAAAAACCTTAGCAACAACAATGGACTGCAAAATGGACTGGCCGGAACCGATTGTCAGGGTCCAATCATTGTCGGAGAGGGGCCTCGCCGCCATCCCGACAAGATATATCAAGCCGCCGGCCGACAGGCCGTCATTAACTTCCGGCAACCATGACGACGTCGTTAACATCCCGTTAATAGACTTCGGGCCGTTACTGTCGCCCGGCGCTGCCGTCGCCGCCAAAGCCGAGGTTCTGGTGCAAGTCTCGGAGGCCTGCCGGAGCTGGGGGTTTTTCCAGGCGGTGAACCACGGCGTTCCGCCGGAATTAATGGACGAGGCGAGGGAGGTTTGGCGCCAGTTCTTTCATCAGCCCATGGAAGTGAAGCAGCCTTACGCCAACTCGCCGAAGACCTATGAGGGTTACGGCAGCCGGTTAGGGGTGGAAAAAGGAGCCGTTCTTGATTGGAGTGATTATTATTTCCTCCATTATCTTCCTTGCTCCTTAAAGGACCATCAAAAATGGCCTGCCCTTCCCTCTTCTCTAAGGTAACATGTTTCGCTTTTTTGTCGTCAGTCCTAACCGTAGGAGGCACCTTTTAAGGTGGGATGCTGGCCAGATTAATTTTTCCATACGAAAGGGGTTCGAATTCTTACCTCTCTTAGGGAACAAGAGTACACGACCACTTACGTCGACCAAACTGATTACATGTTTCACTTTTGATACTATTTTAACATTAATACTTTTCAAGTAACACCTCGGGCCACACACAAAATCTCCTCTTTTATTCTAAACAACGATCCTTAATTGATTCCCAAAATACATATGCTGATGTTGTTTGTCGTCTCTAGTCTAGCTAACAGGTCAGGTGTCAGTTTGACTTGAAGTTGGTTAGAATGTCATTTTAGCTAGGTTTTTAATTCCCTAGCTAGAAGAGTAAATCTTAGATATTGGGTCTAGCTATACCTAGCTAGTAACTAAGGGTATTTTATTGTCTTAACCTTTTTTTAGGGGATTGATTGAGGAATACTCTGAACAAGTGGTGAAGTTTTGTGGACTATTAATGAAAATTTTGTCTACAAATCTGGGACTAAAGGAGAATGTTTTGCAAGATGCATTCGGAGGGGAAAACATTGGAGCTTGTTTACGTGTAAATTTTTATCCTAAGTGTCCGTCGCCTGACATGACCCTTGGGCTGTCGTCCCACTCGGATCCCGGCGGGTTGACCATTCTATTGCCGGACCAGCACGTCGCCGGCCTTCAAGTCCGCCGGAACGGGGAGTGGGTCACCGTCAAACCGGCGGCACACGCCTTTATCGTCAATATTGGCGATCAAATTCAGGTACGGTACGATGAATACATTTTTACAACTAGTAGTGATTGGTTGTTCGTACGGTGATATTGGGTGGAATTGGATGAAAGTGTTGGGTTGCTATTTACCAAGAAACATAGTCACATGGAGGGGCCACTTAGATTTATTTGAGAAAAAGAAAACATTGTCACCACCCACTCTAGTCCAAGAAACATTCTAAACGTGCGTTTTTTTTTGTTTACTTTAACAAAGTGGGAAATGCATGGGTTTTTGGATCCCACCCAAAAGTCCAATATATAGTAAAATACGGAGTAAGTGTTTATTTTTATATGGTTTCTTAGTGATTCTTTGATTTACGAGAAAATTAGTAGTTGTGTTCTTAAACTAGCCTAAATTATCTATAAAAGGTCAATAGATACTTTCACTGAAAGTTTAAAGTGAAATTTTGTGGTTAACAAATTAACTATCAGACCAACTCAGTTTGAGATTGCCTATTCTCTTAGGGTGTGTTTGGTTCGCACATAGGAATCGGAATCGGAATGAGTATCAAATACTTGGTAATGGTAATGGGTTTTGGTAAAAGTATTTAACATGTTTGGTAGTAAGGTGGAATGTGAATGGTTACTAATAGTAGTGCTTGAAAATGAATAAGGGAATGAAACCCTTATTGTATTTGGGTATGAGTTTTTCAATTGATGGGGTATTCGAAACTCATAGTAGTGTTCTAAAAACCTATCAACCAAACAACAACAATCACTTTCATACCCATTCCTATGGGCAAAACCCACCAACCAAACACACCCTTAGTGATTCTGTTTCTTATCTTGCTATGCCAGACATGATAGACTAGACAAAACTAATAAAAGCAACTTTATCGTGATATCGATTCCTTGTCCACGTTGCACAATAAGATTGTATAACCATATTATTCTTTTTAGCTAAGAAAATACTTAGGGGGTGTTTGGTTCGCACATAGGAATCGGAATCGGAATGGGTATCAAATACTTGGTAATTGTAATGGGTTTTGGTGAAAGTATTTAATATGTTCGGTAGTATGGTGGAATGAGAATGGTTACTAATAGTAGTGCTTGAGAATGAATAAGTGAATAAAACCCTTATTGTATTTGAGTATGAGTTTTTCAATTGATGGGGTATTCGAAACCCATAGTAGTGTTTTAAAAATCTATCAACCAAACAACAACAATCACTTTCATACTCATTCCTATGTGCAAAACCCATCAATCAAACACACCCTTATGTATTTCATTATTTATGTATTGTTTTTGAAACTAATTATTTATGTATTGTATGTACTTAATGTTATATTTTCTTCTATGCAGATATTAACTAATGCTACTTACAAAAGTGTTGAGCATAGGGTGATTGTTAATTCGAATAAAGAACGTGTATCTTTGGCGTATTTTTACAATCCTAGAAGCGATTTGCTCATACAACCAGTGAAGGAGGTCGTGACGTCAGAAAACCCTGCACTATATCCACCGATGACCTTTGATGAATACAGACTTTATATAAGGACCAAGGGTCCTAGAGGGAAATCGCAACTAGGGGGAATCAAAGAAGTGTGAAGATTAAGAAACTAAGTACGATGATTGTACTATGTAAAAGCATTTAGTTTGTAATGAAATATGTATTATGAATGGTCAATAATGATCTTAATTAGAAATGAACGTAAATCTTATAATTGGGAAAAATTCAATTAATAATGTGGGAAAAGAGAAAGATAAAGATCACTGTACTACATTTTGAGTGGTAGCTGGTCGGTTGTGTTGAAGGCAGTTTAGTTTGTCCCACTCTATTGTTACTATTGTTGTTATATATGTTTTTATGATAATAGAAAAATGTTATTCTTCCCTCTAAATTTTAGATTTATAATGTTTATTTCGTGACATTATTTATAAGATTAAAAAAAAATTATAAGGTCAAAACAGTTGCATTGTGATGTAATATTATTAAATAATTTTTTTTGTCTATGAAAAAGATGGTCGAAGGGTGGATTGTGATTCTTGTACCAGAATGTTATGAATTCTTCTCAATCAAGCCACATGTTTGTTTGTGATGAATGCAACTAATCTGGTCCTGCCCAACATAGAAAAGATAAGATAAGATAATTGTTTGCACAAATTAAGAGGACCAATTTTTTATTTTTTTTCTATTTAGAGATGTAAAAATGAAATGATTGTCCTGAATCTATCATCCAATGCAATAGTGACACGTTAAGATTATATTCAATAATTGTTGTTTCAATTCTATAGATCATATGGTTATATCATTCCATTATTTCCACTAAAGTATCTAATATTAAATCACTTGTGAAACTTATAAAGCATGTGATTTTAAAAGAAGTAAGACAATTCCTTACGGCTCAACGCCCCAGAAGACAAGTGTTCTAAGAGCATCCACATTAGTTGGAAAGAATGTGGGGATAATGTAAGAGTGATTATGAGAGAATGTAAGAAGGGGAGGGAAAAAAAAAAACAAAAAAATTAAAACAAAAATAAAAAATAAAAAATAAAAAATAGAAGTGTCAGGCGCGCCTCGCCGTTCGGCGCGTGCACTGCACGCGCCCGGCTGTAGACTTGCTGTGCGCCAAACGCGCACAGCAAGTCAAATACTTTTTTTTTTCTTTTTTCTTGATTTTCGCAATATTTTCTCTCTTGCAGATGAATTCTTCTTCAATAAATTCTCCCCTACATTAGCTTTGTTCCCCATTGAGAAGAATTCATTCTGAAATCTCCCCATAATATGCACAGTGTGGATGCTCTAAGAGCATCCACGCTTGTGGTTTATTTGGAGTTATTTCAGAATTAATTCTCCCCATCCAAGTTAATAGTTGATGTGGGTGTTGGTTATTTGAGAAATAATATTACTGCAAATGTGGGGAGAATGTCAGAAATACAAAAAAAAAAGAGAAAAAGAAGATCGCTGTGACGCGCTGACAGCGCGCCTGACGCGTCCTTTTTTTATTTATTTATTTTTAAAAAAAATTAGTTTTATTTTTTTTTCTTTCTTTTTTCTTTCCCCTCCCATCTTCTCTTTCCTAATCACTCTTACATTATCCCCCAATTCTCCTCAACCAATGTGGATGCTCTAATTTAAAACTATAAAGTGGCATAATTTGTAAGTACATTAATCTGTGTCGTACGGTTTAAAATGTCGTTAAGGAATGATCTAGAAAATGGGCATTTTACTTGCCTTCTTTTATATTTTAAAGAATACTTTATGGCCTACCATAAAATCCATTTCCAAAAGCTGAAGCCAAGCAGCCCATAAAGACCAATAATGCACTATGAGAATTGACTATTACTAGTTACAATTGCATTCTGATATACAATCATTGGTGAGATTAAAATTTTAACTTAGCTGTTTCAAAAAAGAATAAATAAAAATTGAAGCCCACCAATTTGGAAAGCCATAAAATTCAGAGCCCATCAAGTTAAGCCTGTTTTAACAATTCTAGCCATTTTTGGAATATCAAATGATGTATGAAAAAAAATTCAAAAGAAAGAACTATCATTTGGAAAAATATATGATTATAAAGGAAGATAAAAGTTGGAGAGAAATCAAGGGAAAAGGAGGTCTCTAACAAGTAACAACTACAGTAAATTTCTGTTCATATAACTAACACGATCAGGATGATGGTATATGCCTTGGTTAAAACCTCTGAATCTTATCCACCACTGGCACTGGGCACTGGCTAGTCTCTACCCCTTTTCTTGCTGCAAAAGGGGCATTTGTATTTCTTGATACTTTCAGCCTTTGCTGGGGTAATTTTCACACACTTGCCATGGAACCATCTCTCACATATATCGCACCCAATCCAGAACCCTTTCTCATCGTAATTCTCCCCACAGCTCCCACAAATAGCGTTGCTTTCATCGTCTCCACCCTCATCTTCATCTTCGTCTTCATTATCATCTTCGTCATGTTCAAAGCTCTCCTTTCTCCTTGGATTTTCTTTGGGTTGTTTGCCATTCTGTAAGCAGAGTGGTTATGTATATATATATATATATGGCTTAAATGTTCTTGATGATTACACAAATGCAATAAATATGCAGTCTTTTAAAGTTACCTTGGTGCTAGGCTTGGATTTTGGACCACTATCAGCACTAGGCTTATCTTTAGACAATCTCTTCCCTGTTACAACTTCATGGACAGTTGGCAGACTGTTTATAAGGCAAAACAAACGTTCCCTGTAGATTAATAGACAAGAATGTCCATAGGATAATACTGTTAGTCTTAGTAACCTTGACTGACAAAGCTCATAAAGTAGTGCTGTCGTAATTTAGAATCTCTGAACCCAGGGAATTGGTAATCTTATAATCAGTCACAACTCTGTGTGAAACTTCATAAACAAATAATATTATATTAGTGCTTGACTCAGGCATCTGTGCAAATAGACTTTCATTAATGGTGTATGATGACCAAGTTAAACAGAACCCTGATATGTAAGTCCCATATTCATACGCAGGTATACGAGGTTCCAGAAGAGTGATACTGGCAGGTATTACCATGGCTAATGACCCTTGCTTCAGTGGTCAAGGATAACCCATCGAACCTCAAGGTTAGAAGTTCAACTCCCTTCCACCTCAAATGTACACATAAAAAAAAGGGGGAAGATAAATTTCTTACAAGTAGAACTAAGTGATCTTCAACTCCCTAACACCACAGTCCACAAAACACCCCACTAGAACCAACAACATCCCATGGACATGGTTCTGGAGTATACCCTTTGCAGCCCATATGAATATAATATTCTTATCAAAGATATATTAATTTGAGAATTGGAAATATCATCAGACTTTAGTTATAAATTAAACGTTGTGTAAACAACAAAAGAAAATAATTGACTAATTTTTGTTTCAGAGCCATACATCCACATTAGAGAAGCCCAAAAGGCCAAAAGTAGGAACCACCAGTTCAACACTACCTGATATGATGCAAAAACAACTTTTAGGGTCAAGGAAATAAACCAGGTCAATACCCCAAGTAACCAAGGACTTTGTAGTCCCAATGATATGGGCTTGAGGTTAAAAGAACCTTGCGGTCTAGTGGGATAGGTCTAACACTCAATCTATAAGATCTCGAGTTCAATCTCCAAACCCTTTTTTTTTTAAAATAAACATGACCATGAGTAAAAACCAAATCTTTTTATCTTTTTATGGTATATAGCATCTATACCCTAAGTAACCGGCTCTAACCCTTATATCTTACTATAATTTCTCTCACCAATGCATGTTCAATCCAACAAACATTCCCCACACTCTCCACATAATAAAAGGAAGGGCATATTGAAATTAATAGAACTGTGATGATCATGTCCTTGAGTTGGAGGTTTCAGATTCAAGTTGTGAAACCCACAATTCAATCCATAAGTGAAGAGGTGAAATCATTTTGTACTTTGTAGTAGTCAAAAAGCTTTTTTCTTCCACTTCTTCTTTCCATTTTTTTTCCTAACAGACTAAATCATCCTAACTTTCCTAAAATTTGAAAGCAAACTTGCACCAGCATCTTTCTATCTCTCTCTTGTTCTCTTAGCCAGATTTTAATGTGCCGCCCATCAATAAGATAAGAGTATACAATATGTTTGCATTATTGCATATCAGGAAGTGGAAGAAAGGATTCAGGGGGAGGGAGGGATTTGATCAAGGAATTCTATCAATTTTAGGATATATTCATTTTCTTAATTCAGTCTCTAGTTCTTATTGAGTTTCTCAAAATCATATTGAAGCTATACAGAATTCACCAAAAAGAATTGATATCTTCAAATTAGTTGGTAGAATCTTCTTGAAGACTTGGTAATACGGAGTACAATTTTAGGACATTCAATCTTTTAAAAGTTGTCCAAGTCATTGGCCAATAGTGTTCAAGACTCCACAAGATAAGACCTTGAAGAAGATAATGTCTCATGTTAATAGTTAATGTAAAGCTGTTGAAGTGATGCCAACCATACTTTCTCTTAAAGTAGTTCTGTAGTTCATATATGAACTGTGGAGACTTCTAAAGGTTAACCACATATTGTCTGAACTTATATGTATAGTCAACCATTTGTCTCTGTTTGTATTTTTCTTTCACTTGCATCACAGTCAAACATAGTTGAAAACAAGTTTCTAGAGGCAGACACATTTCCTAATGTATCACAGTAGAAATTGAAATATTTCCACTCACAGGAGCAGATTGAGTTAGTAAGACTTATCAAGCCATACCCAGAAATCTTCTATCCCATGAAGATAATAAGATTTTCATGTAAGTATTACTGTGTATAACACACTGTTACTTTCATTGGTTCTTCAAAATGACTTTTTTCCAATTTCCATAAACAATTTGTAAACTTCATTAATTGTATGGAAAGAAGCAACTTTTCAAATAATTTCTTTTTCTTCGTTTAAGTTGTCACTTCATCTATTCAGATACGGGTTCAGAATCCAGTCCACAATTCTTCTACTCCAGTGAGATAATAGACTTCAAACTCTTTCCATTGATTCCTTTTGTTTAATTGTTGGTTCAACACTTGATTGTGCTATGTATACCACCTACCAATGACCTAACATCTCTGCCCTTCTTATCTAGTCAAACTAAACTTCTCAGTTCTAAAAGTGATCGACCTGATATTTAAAAATTTCTAATTATTAGATAATAAAGGGCATGGCATTAATAAGCACCCATTAAATTCTAGGTAAAGTACGAATCTTGAAGTGGAAGTAAATTCACCTTTCAAGTTGATTGAGGCGAGCACCGAAGTAGAAAGCCACGGAGAGCAACCACGAATCGGTGTGCATAGCCACCAATGCCACCCAATCCCCCCTCCTCATACCATCCCTAGCGAAATTGATGCCCAGCACCGGCTCCGGCATCTCCGGCGGAACCTCCTCCGCCGGCAATGCTACTTCCCACGTCCCATCCGGATGCCCGTACAGGCACAAATTATCCTTCTCTGCACTCAAAATTCCCCACAAACGAATCAAATTCCAATTCCAAATCCCAACCCCTCCTCCCCCCACACATACACAATTACACACACTCACCTGGATCGCATAGCGAGAAAAACTCCTCCACATCTGAGCACACACAAAAGCAGAAAACCGAATCAGAACAAGTAGGTATAAACAATTCCATATTTAAACCCCGCAATAGCGATAATTTCGGCGGTTGTTAGTGGCGGTTACCACTTACCGCGACCTAGGGCGTCGAGAACGGCGGAGCGGCGACCGGTGAAGTCTTTGAAGATGTCTTCAACTGAACGGGGCTTTTGCGCAGCGTTCGGAGAGACGGAAGCCATGTCGATCAATTCACAGTTTCAGCTGTACAGTAAAACGGAATCGATCTTTTCTCTCTCTCTCCCTCTCTCTCTCTCTCTCTCTCTCTCGGAGGGATATGATCGTAATTAAATAAGCGGAGAATTAGCACCCTAATTTAATGGGATATTTTTAGTCAGAGGGATAACCAGGTCACCGGGTACTTTTTTCTGACGTGGACTGAGGAGTTCAGGTGTACGGAGTTTCTACGTCAGACTCTGAATATGATCGTTTCGGGTCGGGTCCCTTCTGATTCCATATGATTTTTTTGGTTATTTTAGTAATTAATCTTACCAGTAATTTACTAATTTATAAATTATAACCTTTAATTTAATTTAATACGGAGTATTTAGAATAATGTGTATAACCACAAAATAATCTATTTGTAAATGACATAATAATCTATATAAAATATAAACTTAAATCATTTGAAATATGAAATATTTATGTAATATTATACAATAAGATATCATAATCTAAAAATAATAAGGATAAGAATGAATCTATACATAGAATACTATGTATGTATCGAGTTTTTATACATATCTATATACATGCATGCACTGACGCACGAATTCAATAATAAATGAAAAAATATCAAAACTAAAGATAAAATCTAAATTCACACATATTTCATTATTTATGAATATGACATTTTTTATTATCTGTTTCCACTTTATATCCCTCAATTGTTTAAAGTGATTATTTTTTTGGTTATTAAGTCTATTAGGCTTGAGTTAAAAAAGTCCAGACCATTGGTAAAAGAAAATAGCAATTTCGCTAACAATGAATGGACAAAATATGAGAACACTGAATGACAAAAGTGTTATTTTTTGAGTTATTACTTAATTTAGTCATCGACTATAGCAGTTTTTCTTGATTTATTCTTAAATAATTTTTTGTACTTAATTGGATCAGGGATTTCAATGCTTTCACCTAATTGAGTCCTATGTTAGGATAATTTGATAATTTCTCATCTATTAATACTCAATTAAGTCATAGATTATAGTGATTTTACCTAATTTAGTCATCGACTATAGTGAATTTTTTCGATATAGTCCTTGATTATAATAGCTAAACAGAGGCAAAGGACTCAATTAGATAAAATCATCAAAATCCAAAATTCAATTAAGCACAAAAAGTTATTTAAGACTAAATTGAAAATATCACTATATTCGATGACTAAATTAAGTATTAACTCATTATTTTTCTATAATATAGAGACACAACGTGAAATGTCTTCCATTATCTTATGAACCAAACTTGTTAATGACTGATCAAGAATTCTAAACATAAGAGGACAACTCTAGTGAAATTGGTTAGTATTAATTTTGTTGTTTTAAGTCAGTCAACTTTGGACGGTAAACTTTCTCGTTAAATCAAAAAATTCTGAACATAAAATAATCAAAGCACATAAAAGATTAGCTAAGTTTAATAATTAGGGTAACCAAACCATGATGAGCTAAGATTAACATTAATACAGACCTAGGAAAGTGCATTGGACCCAAAATACATTCTATGCTATAAGACATAAAACCTGAAACTACCCAATAAACACATGGGATAAACAGACTACAGAGAAGGCTAAAATTATATATTTATACATCCACTACTACATAATAATAATAATAACAATGAAGAAGAAGAAGAAGAAGAAGACCTTACTAAATTCATTCAGTTCATTCTAATTTTCCCAGGAAGAACTATTCCTGGTTTATGCTCTTCTGCAAATCTGCTAGTAACTAGCTTGACAACAGAATGAGCAGTTAGGCTATACTTTTCTTGAGCTTCTACAAATCCCCTGACAAGAACACTCTGGATCCAATCTTCTACCTTCTTGTTATTGGTTAAACAGGCAGCTGCTAAAATCTGTTCCATTACTTTAGATTCGATCTCGAGCAAGCACTCGGGCCCGATGATTTTGTGGAAGCAGTGTTCGATCTCCTTCACCGTTTTCTCTGCAAGTGACCCGAGGCCAAATGGCTCGAATGTGACTGTCTCGTCGACCTGTCTGAGGAACTCTTCCAACCATGGCCCTGTGTCGGGTTCCTCGGTTCTGTCATTGTCAGCAGCTGGGAGATTCAAGTCGAGGGATGGATTTGATGCCCGGTGGGCGCGTTTTGCTATCTCGGGGATGGCAAAACGGTCCTCGTTTTCGACTGTGTCGATGGTTTTTCTCTTGTTGGGATTATCATCTCCAAGATCAACTCCAATCTGGATATGAATTGGCCAGCCTTTTACTGCAAGAATTTGTTCTTCAGAATAGCCTTCTGGGGAACCTGAAGTGGTCACAAAGATGGCATTACTAGTACTAATTTCTCTTCCATGTGAGTCTGAGAATTTCCCGGTTTTCACAGCCCGGGAGAGGCTATTTTGCACGAGGAGATCGGCTTTCTCAACGTTCTCGAGGAAGATAACAGACACGGGCTTCTCACCCAGCTTCTCTGCAATGTAATCCACAACGTTTTTGCCTCTCAACTTCACATCATACTTGTTCACAAACTGGAGATCAAACAGTGACTTAATGCAGGCTCGGGTGCCTTCCTCGAAGCTCAGATCGACACAGATCAAGCTATGTGTGCTCCCGTGTAGTATTTCAGAAAGGGAAACGACGAGTTTTTTCTTCCCCACGCTATCCGGTCCCGAGAAATGGAACCATACGTCTCCTCGAGTTGCCCGGGGGTGCCTGCACTGGGCTATTCTTTGGCTGATAACTTTCACAGCTTCTTCCTGCCACCAAACCCTCTCGGCTAGAGCCTCGTATAGCACCTTGAAGTCTTTCGGATTGAATTGAGCATTTCTCGAGATGTTGGATGGAGAATTCGAGCAAATATGCAAACCTAAATCCATTGTCACCGAGGTCACTGAGGTTGGAGAATTCGAGCAAGTACTCGAACTGGACAAACTGAGAGGAAGCTCATCCGAGAGTACCCCGAGTGGACTGCTCTCTTTCGAGGCATTAGAAGGCACGACCCTGTCCTTATTCCCGTCTTCCACGACTCGAAACCCCACGATGGACGGGACTCGAGAATCGAGCTGAGCACCACTACTCGTTCTCGAGAACGGCTCGTAGTGCAGGCGCTGACAGAGCGAGTCCCATTTCCTCTGCAATCCCGCGATTTTGGCATTCAAAACCACATTATAATCATCATCTTTGGCCTGCACTGAAGACACACAAAGCAGTTATCTACACCAAAACACGACCCCCAACGCCGACCAGAAAACGCTATTTTACCTCATACTATACACACCTTCATCACCTCCATCTTGTTGCTGCTTTGCAGCCAAGAAGGCAGACTCGACTGCTGGTAGTGGTCTGCAACCGAAGAACCAAACCCCCCACTCGAAACCGCATTAATTTCTTGCCTGCACTTCTCGCTGCAGAGACAACACCGCGAAACGCTCGGGTACGAGCTGCTTAATGGGCTTTTCATATCAGCAAACAGCCCTCCAAATGGAACAAAAGACTCCATCAAGCTGTAATAAGATCAACCACCAAAACATTACCTCATTTTCGAGACTTCCAGGCATTAAAACTTAAGAACACTACACAAACTATAGATATCGAGCACGAAACTAACTAAGAAGACAATTCTTTAGTCTTATGAACACCAAGATGCTACTAGGACACACAATCCAATATAAAGCATGGTGCTTTATGGTAAATGCTAAAAGATATGAGCTATGTTTGGCAAACCTAGCTGAAAAGGTAGCTGAAAGCTGAAAAGCTATAAGTTAAGAGCTGAAAACTGAAGAGCTGTTAAGCTAGCTGTTAGTAGCTTAAAATAAGCTATAAGCTCTGCCAAACACACTCATGGACAAAGGCACAAACATTATTAACAGTGCTAAGCATGATGTTTTTATAGTAAATCCTAAAGAAATAACTTCCATAACAACATAGCAGCCACGAGAAACGTAAATCGAGCAATCCTAAGAAAGACAGTGAATTTATACCTGGATTTGGGGTATGATTCACCTGGGAAAGGTCCTGGAGAGGTGATTGTCAAGAGCTGCAAGTCCCAATCTTTCTCAATGGAGGGGAATCTATTCAAGACCTTCAAGTAAACCTCGTATCGCGCCACAGCTCCGATCACCCACAGTTTCCCAGCACAAACCTCAATCAACCGAGCCAACCCGCGAATCACGGGCTGCAAAGATTCACCGGAAGGTTCATCCCCAGCCAACACTTTGAGATCACCAAAATTGAGCACAACACCAGGGCCTATGCATTGCTCCACCATTCTGGTCACTTCCTCAAGCTTCAGTCTCAGCTTATCCTCGTCGTAATCCCCGTTAACATAACCCGAAAGCTCGGGTTCGATACAGATTACAGTTAGTCCAGAGAGGTGTGAGGGTATTAGCCCTGATCCATCTCTTCTTGTCTGGAGAGTTTCCAGGAAAGTCCTGAGAGCTTCATGAGCACAAACCCCAACTAGCATGGGGTTTTTCTGGTTGGGCTTTAGGAAAACCTCACTGATTCTCCTGCAATTCTGATCTCCTCCTCCTCCATCTGAAACCCCTAGGAAAGGGAAGGTGAAACCTTTTCTTCCCAGCTCAGAATCCCCAGATAAATTACAGAGAAACAGAGGGGGTGGTCCTTTATACCTGGAATATCTAAAGAACTGGTGAACCGGCCTTAAAATGGCGATCTTGATATCACAGCTTCTGAACCCGGCTTCCCCGAAGACCCGGCTCACCGCCGGGTCATCAAGAATGGAGAGAATCATATTCTGTAGCTCCACCTTCACCACCGGAGCTGAAGAACAAGAAGACTGCTGCTGTTGCTGATAAAAGCTGAAATTCTCCGGCTGCCGTCTCTGGTTCGCCTGCGACCGCTTGATGGCCGCCATGAGCGAGTTCGAAACCGGCGGTTCATCTTCTCCGGCCCGGTTCGGCGACGACGGCAGCCGGTCCAGCGTCACCCCGAGGCAGAGCTCCAACGCCTTGAACTGTAGGCGCGTAGAGTACGCATTGTTGCGCGCCCGGCAACACGCCTCCCGCAGCGCCGACGACGACGGCAGCGAGAGCAGCGACGACACCATGTGAACCGACGTCGTCTGAGCATGCCCACGCCGCCGCGCCGCCGCCACCGCCTCGTCCAGCGCCCTCACCGCCTCCGCCGTCAAGCATTGCCGGGCTGTCGCCACCGGCGTCGGCATCTCCGCCGGAAAAACAAGAAATTGTTCCTAATAATATAAAGATTCACCCTTTAACATCAAATTCCAATACACACAACAACAGAAACAAAAAAACAATGAAACCACTCCAGTATCACTAATCTACGGTTTCAAGATTCAAGAATGATTAGAAATGACAGCAGTGTAGTATGAGGAGCAGAAGAAACTCGAAAGAATTATTAATATTATTATTAAGTGGGTATGTAGCTATCAAGAAATGGGATTGTGAATTATTTATTGGGATCGTAGGTTGCTGTTTGTCGTTGGTGGTGACACTGCTAAGCTAGTGCTGACTGATGTTTGTTTCCACACGACAGTTAATTAAGGATTGCGTTAATCCTGGGATTTACTGCGCTAATTAATGTTAGAAATAATCAAGAAAAAAGAAGAGATTTTGTGGGAGGGATGAAAGATGTTTTCATGTTTTGTACGAATTTTTTTGTGTTGTGTTGTGGGGGCTGGAAGGAGGGAAAGAATGAAAGATGCTGAGTCCACTTACTTTGGAGGTGGGGCCCAGCCCGGGACTCTCAGGTCATTTTCTGCTTGCTTGTGAAAATGCTCCATTTTTGGGGGCCACCCCACTCTCCCCCAAACCCAAAAGAGAAAACAGTTAGCTCACTGTAACTGTTTCTGTTTATACTATCCAACTGTTCTTTATTCTTTTATTAATTCTCGTTAGAGGGTTAAATGGACCGGTTTAAATAGGTCAAATATGATCTGTCATTACTCATTAGTTTACCTATTGTTTTGGGGCAAATTATGTGGTGGACCATAATAAAAAGTATATTTTTAATATACTAAAAATATATTATTCTTGTATTGAATGTATATTATACAAAATAATATATTTTCAGTACTCAAATAATATATTTTCTTTAAATACAATATACATTTTTAATATATTAAAAAGTATATTATTTGTGTACTGAATGTATATTATTTGATAGTATGGTCCACACAATAATAATTGTTGTTTCGGTTGGGTTGACTCATGTTTGCTTAAATTTTAGCTAGAAACTGACCCAAGTAGATTGGGCTTGGATCGAGTTTCAGGCTAGTCTGTTCGTTTGATATATACTTCTACCCCCATTAACGACCATATATCAAATAACTCAACAACAAAAAAACACACACACACACACAATTTTTTACTTTTGTTTTATGTTCGGGTGAGTTTAGAGTATATGGCAAGATAAATATTTTCTAAAATGGTAATGTTTTCTAACCGTCTATAATCTCCTTTAAGATATGCACAGTCGTAAATGAATCGATTCCAAACTTAACCTTTTTATGTTTAGGTTTAACATTTGAGTACAAATTCTAAGTTCCTTGCTTATTTCATACTCTATAGTTTGTACATTAAAAAATATTCTCAATTATAGCATAATAGTACATGTGAAATCTTTTCAATTAATATAGTATTAGTGTATTACATGTAGAATCTCTACATATTAATTAAGATTAACAATAATTCCACTTTTATTATTGCAACTACTCAAATATTGTATATTATATTGCACGAATAAATAAATGCTGATGAGAAAAGAAGTAGTAAATGATAATTAAGAGATATTAAAAAAAATGTAAAATTAGAAAAAAAAAATTATACGTGCATAAGAAATATATATATATATATATATATATATATATATATATATATATATATATATATATATATATATATATATATATATATAAATTGTTATATTTAATTTCTTTAACAACTTAGAAAGAAAAAGAAGAATAAGAAAGTAATTTTTTTTTTTTTAAAAAAAGTGTGTCCATATACACACACACACATATATATTGGAAGAACAATGGATTAGATTGAAAGCATATAAATCAATGTTTTACCTTTGAAGGTAAAAGTTGTAATACTCAAAACAAAATGGGTCAACGCCACTTCCTCTCATAGTTATTACTGATTAAAGCGTTGAATAGCAAACGCCATTTTGACTTTCTCAAGTGCTCTTCGACTCGGATGCAAGCATTTACCAAATCAATACTATCACCATATTCTTCCCAAAAAATTGGATCTTATCCGACAGAGTATTTGGAAAAATATAAATCATTGTAATTTAGCTGAACACAAAGATTAGGCATTGCTTATTGTGCACAAGAAGTCATCCTCATTTTGAGAGGTTGCTCTCACGCTACCGCTAGTAAGACCCAATCCCAATACAATTACTAGATTGTAAAGACATCATGACGTGGTAACTTGAAATTAAAATATTATTTTGATTTTATAAGTAAAAACTTAACAAATTAGGAAATGATAACTTTTTTTTCTTAAATCTTTTTTACTCTTCATATTAACTTCTATACTATTTTTTTCATTTGATTTTCAATATCTCTATTCTACCACTGTAACAGTCATTTGAATTTTATTCGAGAAATGTTCATAAAATTTGACTCTTATTCAAGAAATGCTTGATTTATAACTATTTAAAAGGCGTATACCTACAAGAACATCTACTAGAGTTGATTTTCTAACTTTACAATTACATTAACAGTTCACATAGTAACTGCTCCAAAATATTGGGTTAACTTTAGTCATATTAAAATACACCAAACAAATAAATACTAACGTCCAGAAGAAAACTAAAAACTTATCCTAATTGTCGATCTATGAATGATCAATGGCTCCAAAATAAAGAAAAAAAATGCAGTCGCATTTTGATAAATATAACAAACTTTAAAATGCATCAAACAAACTACAAAGTACACCAAACAATACTACAAATTGCACCAAGTGATATGTGAAAGTACAATGCACTTTTATATATCATTAATGGTTATACACTTTTTGAGTCACAAATATCCTAGTTTGGCACTAATCCTAAATATAAATAAATAGGGACAGTACAGTTGAGAATAGGATCAAAACTCTCTACAGTTCCATGAAAAATTATTTTAGATTTAGGATTGATTCAAGTTGAGAATAGGATCAAAGCAATGATTAATTCCAACTTTGAAGTTGTATCATCAATTTGCATTAGATCAAATCTAAGTTTTTTCATTTCTCATTTTAATTCAATTGTAATTTCAACTTTTAGTTTCAATCGTGCACGTGTTTTACTTTCTATGTAATTTCTTTGAATTGAGTCATGTGTGGCTAGGTTTTTACTTGGGATTTGGATAGAGCTTGCTCTTGTTATTGATGCTAATATGATTCTAATTGCATAAGCGGGAATTGTATTGTATTAAATTAGGTAGGGTTCTTGAATGATAGGACTTTATTTGGTTTCTTGTGTTATCTACAATCGTATATATTATACTTGAGAACCTAGGAGGTGTGTTGTTGCTATAAGAATAAGACATTACTATAGTCACACTACTCACGTTCTTGAATTTGCCTTTAGAAAGGGAGAGAGAGGATGCCAATTAATACTTAGTTGCCATGAGAATGGGACTTAGTGTGAAATTAGATTTCCCTTCAACCTTAGCTTGCTAATCTATTACATGATCGATCTCTAATTCTTAGATTTCCATTACAGGGCATTTGGTTGGGTGGGGAGGATTAGCCGGGAAAATAATTGTAATTTAATGAGAAAAGAATAATAAGGTGTAATAAAGTAGGAATAGAATTATTTGGTAGGGAGGAATAGAATTATTAGGGATAAGAAAAGAAGAAGTGGTATAAAGACTAAAATGTCCTTGTACATGTAATAATAATAATAATAATAATATCAATAACCAAGGGTCATTTGTTATTTTCACTTTTTTTTTTCCTTTCCACCTTTCACTGAATTGTCATTCCCTCAACCAAACAATGTAGTTTTGACGGTTGTTAAATAACATTGTAAAAGAATTTCAATTACACCCAACCAAACACCTTAGTATTGATGCAAGAGTACGCGGAGTCCATATCCCACTCATGGTTGCAGTAGACGCTAGTCGGGCTCTCGGGCAGCGCCTAGCGCTTAGGCGCCCTAAGTGGCGCCTAGGTGGAATCTAGGCGGGAGCAAAAAAACAGTGGCAAACTTACAGTTTGACAATTTTAATAAGGATGTTTTCAACATTAAATCAAATAACACATCCAAATAAATGAAATAATGATAATTCATAAATCATAACATCAAAACAATATTAAAAATTAAAAATATTCAAGTATGAAATACTCAAATACTTCAATCATCTAAAGATTCGAAGTGTCAAACTAGTCTACGGGTGTATATACGTCATATTATATATATATATATATATATATATATATATATATATATATATATATATATGTGTGTGTGTGTGTGTGTGTGTGTGTGTGTGTGTGTGTGTGTCTATATATATAATGAAAAAAATTAGCAAAGTCGAGCTGATTGGGTTAACTCGATCGAGTTAGACGCTAGGCGGCTGTCTAGGCGGTCAAGTCGGCCGAGTTAGGCGCTAGGCGGGCGCCTAGAGAGAAAATCACCACGGTCTAGAGACGCCTAGACTGATTTTTGCAACAGTGATCCCACTCCTTTCGTTTGCTTGATAAATCAATTACTCTTTGCTAGTTTTCCTTATTTAATTGTTTGTGAATTGATTGTTTGAATGATGATTACCAACCAAATTGTTAGAGCTAGCTTTAAAATGTTTGATATGTTTCATGATTAACTAACTTGTTATTTGACATCTCTTTGATCCACTCCTTATGATTAATTTGTGAACGATATCCAATGTGAAAATACTTTCTCACAAAACATACACCTCTATAATTTGTACTTTGCACACATTGAAGCCGTGCGTTGTGCAGGTTAAAATTTAAGATATTTATCAAAATGGCAATGTTTTTTTTTTTCTTTATTTTCTTCTAATATTAAAATCGTTGATGTTTTCAACCTGGTCCTCTTAGTTGGCTTGGTTCTATTCCTTCATGTATTGGACATTTGCTTTAATAATATTTCATCGTTACCTTTCAAAAAAAAATCAACAGTCAGAATAAGTTCTCAATTAATTTTCTTTTCGATAGTGATTCTCACATTAACATTACCCATATATTTATCTATAATCTATCCAGACCAAGTGTTCTTTTCAGACAATAATTCTCAAAAGCAGTATGTATTGTTTCTTCCATCCTCAACGCCTAAAGAGAAATTTGTCAGTCATGAACCTGCTTTTTTGTAACAGTTTTCTAAATAGTTTGATCCATTATTATTTCATTTGGTCATATATCTTTCATAGTCTCATTTACAACAGTCCTTAAAGCACATGCTACATGCCAT